CATTTTATAATTTAATCCTGTTACTGAGTTGTAAACATGCAATAATTACTTTTACCATTGGATAGCATTTTGAAACTATGTTGGCACTTGAAAATTTCAAGTTTTGGAGCATTTCGAATTTCAGATTTGGGGATTAGGGATGCTCAACCTTTATATATAATCTGGATATTAAATAAGCAATTCTCTTTGTCTGAATATAGACTGAAAAGTTTTGTTCAGGTATGAAGTGGAAATTTATTTTTATCTTAACCCTAGATCTCCCAAGTTAGAGGAAAGACAGCATTCTTCATTCCTGCAAATTTAGAATTTAGAGATTGTTTAACTTTTCATTCAATTTGTTTATTTCAAACCTAGAAGTTAAATATATCTACATGATGATTTAGAGTACTAATATACAAGTTGATTCACTAAGGGACTTGATCTAGAAATGCGGAAACTATAAACATGACTATTTGGGGACAGCAATTAAGTTTTTAAATACTAATGCTCCAAACAATGCTGTCTGTGACTCCACAATCACAGTCTTCAGTTCAGTCAGGTTGATTTTTCCTTATTGCTCAGGCCTATACTGGCCCTAACTCTGTGCCCTTTCTTGTACACTTCCTCAGACACTTTTATTTTTTCTCTCTATCCAAATAATGAAGTGTCTAATATCTAAGGGACATTCAGCTTCTTCAAGAAGCCTCATCTGATCATTTAGATTGTAACAATCTCTCTTTACTGAATATTCTTATAATTATTCAGCATAATTTCTATATGCTATATGCCCTAAATCTTAGCATTTAACTATATTGGATTGTATTATTTTTTAGGTTTTCCCATTTGTATTATTCTTAGCTATCCATGAAGACTGCAAAGTCATATCTTAGGAGATATACCCTTAAACAAATAAGTGTTTTATCCCCAACCCTTCACAACTCTAACCTAATTTCAAGTTGTTTGAAATGTGCACATTTTTGCTATCCAATGGTAAAAGCAATTATTGCATGTTTACAACTCAGTAACAGGATTAAATTATAAAATGTATAACAAAATCAAATAATGGATGAAATCATTATTTGTTTAAAAATTAAGCCTTTACTGTGAAAAATCATGAAGCACCAGAAAAAATGATGAATATAAATAATTTTTAGTATAATGACTTAAAGGTTTAAAACTGTGGGATAAATTTATTAAAGCTGTGTAATTTAAAAAACAAAGCCCTTCTCATGTGAGAGCTTCTTTCCTCTAGGTTAGCAACTTCTTTTTTAGTTCGGGTTATTCTAGCACTGAAAAAAATTACATAATCACATACTGAAAGATTCTGTGATTAGAGTACATCTAAAATAAATCATGCACGACAGATATCTATCAGTGTTTTATATAATGCTCTAAGAACATGCTAGGATAGTATGCTGTCTTACTTTTCAGATAAAAGAAAAAATACTCAGCCCAACTAACACTGACTATCATGCACAGGGCATTCCATTGCCTCAAGAAGGTTATGACCTAGAATGAAGCAAGTACACAAGGTACTCAGAGTAAGTTTTTCAAGTCTTATAACAGAAACAATGCAATCGTATAATGTTACACAATTGGTGGTATATTTTAGGATAAGTGTGTGTTTCCCAAGTGTTCTTAAACTTGGTGAAATATATTCTAAACAGAGGCATAGAAACTGCTTTCTTTGTTTTGTATTTCCACTTATTCCATAATCCCTGATAGGATTACTTTTACTTCTTGATGCTTAAACGTCCTCATTTGCTTGTTTGTGCTAACTGACTGATATTAACAGATGGCAACCACTGAGTTCAGCTACATGTGTGAACAGTACTTCATGGTAATTTAATGCATGGTCTCCAGGATTCTATTAGACTATTTGTTTACAATGATCATTTGTTTCAGCAGCAAACTTCCTGGTCACACAATTTATTGTCAAAGCAGCTCTCAGAGGACCAAAGATCAGAAAGCTATGCTGGTGCCTTTCTGAGTCTTTAGATTCGTTTTCTCTTTTTTTTTTTTTTGGAGAGGTTTTCGCTATAGGGCACGTGCACTCGCCAGACAGACAGAGTCATAGAGACAGAAAGCGAGAAATCACCCCCCAGAGGGGATGGTCACGCCAAAATCCCTTCTCCTCCATTCTCTTCTCGGGATCTTGGGCATGCACGCAACCGGATCCGGGACGCGAACCACAGTTGACTACGTGGGAGTCCAGCGACATAGCCATTACTCTAACTGCTGGTTCCCTTTAGATTCCTTTTCTAAAAGGGCCCTTTGCACTAGAGGTCTTCTAACATCCTCTTCACATCTGATCCTTGATGGGACTTTTTCTCTCTCTGTTTACTTTCCTCTCCCCTCAAGAAGTAAGAGCTGCCCCTAATTCCTCAGCTGATGCCTCCTTAGCCTCTGTCTTCTCCCGCTTTGTCATCTCAGGCAGCTTCGTAGCCACCTATTTGGGATCAGGTTGGTGAGCCTCTTTTTTTTTTTCCCTTTAAATTCTTTTTTGAAGAAAATAATCCAGTAACTATTATTACTAAGGTGCTTTATGATTTAAAGACTTTGACAACCAAAGTTACTCTATAAATATAAGCAA